TATATATATATATATATATAGAGTTTTACTTGAATGTATACAAATATTTCAAATAAATGCATTATTTTTGTTTAATTTTATTTTATAACATAATAACATTATATTGGATCATTATTTTTGTAATTAAAATTACTTTATTTTGATTCAAATTTGTTATCACATAGTATTGTTATTATTAAATTTTATTTATCATTATATTTCAAATTTTTTTAATCTGTTTGTAAATTTTATATTAAATTAATTACATATTTATTTTTATTATATTTATATTAAATATATGTAGTCACCTCTTCGTTGGTGATTAGTATCGCTTTCAAATATACTTCATGATTATAGAAAATACTATATAAAAAATATTATTAAAAAAATTACATTACAAATTATAAATATTTATTACAAAAATTTTAAAAATAAATATACATATATGTTAAAAATAATGTTAGAAAGATTAATTCTTGGAAATTGATGCCAAGTTAAGAATTATGCTTTAATTTATTCTTTTTCAGTTTTTTTCAATTTAATTAAATTATATATTAATATCTTTTTTTTTCATTCTTTTTTTTATTATTTATATTTATTTTCTTCTAATCTGATTAATATTTATGTGAAATTAATTTTAATAATTAATTCTTATTTATATTTTTCATAAATGTGTATTTAATATTATAGAATATTTGCATTAAATCCATAATTATATATTTCAATTTTTGCGCGGTTAAATAAATAAGAGCCCATATGTTTCAGCCAATCAGAAGCGTTCTAGGTAAACCTATGACACATGGCGTCATTCGTTTATAGAAAATTATCGTGACAGGACACGTTACCGATTCGAGAATCCTATTACACAGTGAGTAATTTTATTCATATTTTATTATCGAATTTAAGAATTATCATTAATTTCATAATTACTTTACAATTAATTAAATATTGTAATAACGAAATTAATTAGTCTTTTAATTTTTTTGTGCTTTTAATTTTGATCGTCTAGTTGATCATTGAGGTTATTTGCTTGTATCATTAGCTTGTGTTGTATCATAAGTCTTTTGATTAAAATTTCACTTCAATTATTGTCTTTTTTCATATAATTTTAATTTTATATTTGTTTCATGTTTCTGATTTTTATTTTTCCAGATTATTTTTCATTTGTTGAGATGACTTCGAAAAAATATTCTACGTGATGGCTTTTTTTGGATATCAGGTAAGATTTTCTTTATTCTCATATTAATAGATGTATTAAAATAAAATATATTAATTTTCGAAATATAAATCGTTCATGTCGAAACGAATGCATATTTGTTTTACGAACAATTTTATTTCATCAGATTTAATTTAATAACACATATTTGTTTTCTAATTGAGTTCATTTGTGTTGTTTATATTATTTTTCTTTTCTTTCGTTCGTATTATGTTCGAAGCTATAAATATTTTTTATCGTATAACTTTTTCAACAAATTTAAATTCGCGTTCGAAGTATGTTCGACATCTTTTTTCCTATTGCTCTAATTCGCAATTCGATAATCGAAATTGATCGCGAAGTATCATTGTACTATCGATTGAAAGTTTGATTATTGTTTAATTATAATATAATTGTTTATTTTTTAATTTTTTAATTGGTTAGTATATATTTTATTAATATATTTATTTTTTAATATTATTTTATTTTTTATTATATATATTATTTATGTATGTATGTACGATTTATTATCGAACTATCGATCATACCCCCTTCCTAATTTCTATTTCGATAATCGAAATCGCGGCGTGGAAGAGCATCATTCTAGTTTCGACAATTGTGGAATTTAGACGTGTCATTTTTCCGTGAGGTGTTTGATTTGTTTGCTGTGTATAATTTATTTCTAATTATCATTTATTATTTGTGCGTTAATATTCAATTATTGAGTGTTTCTTATTATAATTAAAAATTATTTTGCGGCTAAATTATTCTTTTTTTTGGATTTATTTGTTCCTTACAAGTGCAGGTTAGAGACACAGGTAATTCATATTATAACTTTTCAACAGATAAAATTTATGTTTGATTACTTTTTTATTGCGTAATTATATAATATAATTGGTTAATCTTGTGTTTATTTGAAAACATGGGTTTTTTTTGCAGATTATTAGTCGACTGTTGGAAGGATAAAAAGGCGCGAAAATTTTCAATATGGCCGCCATAACGGTTTGTCTCGTAAAATATTTGTGATCGCGTGCAATGCGAATTTGTAGAGTCAGTGTTTGCCTCGTAATAGTGTCTTTAATATTTTTTACATTTTTTTCATAATATCTCTAATTATAATAATTTTCCGCGAAAATTAGAATCAGTGTTTGTTCGTTGATTGTAATTAAAATAATCTTATTTTATTTTTTTTTCTTCTGTAAATTTTTAAATATTCGGATATATATTAGAGTCAGTGCATAAGAAATATAAGACGATCGATCATCATGCAAAAAGGTAACTATTTTTCTATATTTTTCATAATTTTAGAATTTACCTTTTTTCAAATATTGAGATTCAAATAATGTTAATTATGTTTTGTTGTGTAGTTTCTTCTATCAAACGATGGCTTCTCTATTTGGGTCACAGCAGCATTGATGACAACGCAGATTCTTCGCATCTAATAATAGTAAGTCGCATGCATTTTGATTCCTCCAGTCACTCAATCATATCGTAGGACGAAAAGTCTGAATCGATACGGGTGACTGGTTGTATACGTAGAATTTTGCACGAGCACAGTGACCATGAGTATTTGTACTCATGAGCAGTGACATTTTCTGTATTTTATTTATTAGATCAGGCTAGGTCTTCTTGCACATTGCATTTTTAATATTAATATTGTTCCAATAATAAATAATATGATAAATAATTTTTGATTGTAATGTCTTAAATTTAGTTATTTCATTTTTAAGATAATAAAAATAAATTTTAGTGCAAAAAGACACTTCGCGACAGGTAGATTTTGAAATCAAAGCTACAAGTTTTAAATACTTTTGTTGTGTTTTCAAAAATATGCTTTGACGAAGGAATCGCCTGAGGATATTTTCATTAATATTCAAATTACTTAATGCATAACTTAATCTCTTTTTCAATAAATTCATTTTCTTTTGATTAATAATTCTTTCTATTTAATATAGAATATCAGAATTCAATATTTTATTACATTGGAATAAAATAGAGTCATTGAAATTTTAGATAAGATGAGAAATATAGAAAATCAAAGTCTATTAGCCCGTTAATGTATAAAATATGATATTTTTTTAGCTCAGGATTTTCAGATTTAACCCCTTCCATGTTCATTGCCAGGATCTCACTCACGTGCTCAGGTGCTACTTGGGTGAGAGAAAGGTGATGAGCATGACGAGCCTAGTTCATAAGTTTCTAACAATTTCTCAGCGATCGACGATGCGTTAGCGTATCGTGCGCGACGTATTTTCCACATTATGCGTGTGTGTGTGATTAGGCTGTGGAATTGCGTCGTTACGACTATTATTTAATTCACAATTATCGATCGAATCACAAGAATATGCACAATAACGATATTAAATCCGCTATTAAATTACAAATAATAACATTATTAATCCTATTATCTCAAATTATAATAATTATATCAAAATTCCTATTATCTATTTAATAAAATCATTTTTCTTAGAAAATACATGTGTTTCATCAATTATGAGTATTCGCAATTAAAATTGGGACGCGCACAAGCGGTTTTATCGCGATTCACGCAATGA